AAAAAAAAAAAAAAAAAAAAAAAGGTAGCAAAAGTGAAACCGAAAAATTTCGTCATAAAAATAGTAAAACCTCTCCTCACCACCAGTAATATTGAAATAAATATCAAATCATGGACGACTTTTACATGTTCTATCAGTCATTACAAAATCATCGAGCTTAAGTTAAACAAACTATAGGTGATTCACTTATCATGAATCACTTAAGTGATCGAAAAATAATATTGAACAATTTTGGTTCTTTTTAGGTATAATATACCTAAAAGGTATACTATATTTTTCTTATATTTATCATTAAGTATTTTATATCTTCATCCTATATATAATAAAAGAGCGTCAACATTTTTTTTGAAATGACAACATACATATTTAATTAACTTATAAAATATAAAATGATCTAATTAAGAAAATTACTGGTCGGTAAGAGCTTTCACATGTATGTTGTGTATTTGTTGTCTGTAAATCTCCACGCGCCACGTGTTATTCTTCTCGCGTATCCCGTCGTCTATGGCCTTGAGACTAGACTTTCGTAACGCAATAATTTTTGGTTTTCGTATCCATACATGCGGGGGTATCATCAATATTATATTTATATATATATAGCTACCAGTATTTGTAATCCCTTGTGTATTATACATGAATTATAAATCCAAACATTTTATTATATTAAAAATATGTGTTACCATTTAAAAAAACAAAATTGACCCCCTTATAAGGCATAAAAGATGAACTTAAAAAGTATCACATAGTTAATAATTCAAGAATAATGTGTAACTAAAGATAACCAAAAAAAAAAAAAAAAGTTTAAATATATCTATTTTGTAAGTAATTGAGTGGATTATGATAAAAAAATCACCTTTATGTATAAATATAAATATATATAAACAAATTTTTATTCTTTATTATTAGATATAAACATTTAAAGATTCAAATTTTTTTGAGTTAAAATACATGTATAATACATAAGGAATTACAAATACAGGTAGCTAATTGGTTTTTTATGACGATATTAGCAAGCATATAGCGTTTATTATCAATGGTAATAAGACCCATTGTTGTAAGTTTATAAACACACTAACTGGAAATACAGAAATTATATCAATTGCTAGTGATAATTGATAATAAACACTCCGTGACTGTGGCAGCGATGTCATAAAAAACTAAAAAGTGAAAAATAAATATAGTTTAAAAAAACTTTAAAGTTGCTTTTAAAGCAAATCGAACTAAAAAGTTAAAAATAGTTTTAAAAATAAGCTTAAAAAAATAATGAACAAAAAATACTAGATTTATTGTTTTAAGGTTATTTTTGAAATTATTTATAACTTTTTAGTTCGGTATGCTTTAAAAGCGTGTTTTTCAGTTTTTTTTAACTATATTTATTATAACTAAACATTTCCCGCTCGTACTCTTCCTCTTACCACTATATAAATATGTCAATAATTTCCGAAAATTTGAACGAAAAGTAGTTAACACCAATCATTTTCTTAATAAGACATCATCTATTAAATAAATTAGATAATTAGGAATGTTGCCATTTGAAAAATTAAATTTGACACCCTTATAAGGTATAAGGAATGAATATAAAAAAACTTTATGATTAAAAAATATAATGAAACAATGAAATAAAAGAAACTAAAAAAAAAAATTATTACTTTTATTTTTCATTTAATTAATTTGAATCGCCCTGTATTTGGATTATAAACATTTTTGATACTTTATTGACGTATTTTATACAGAATGATCAAAATCTGGTAAGACATTCATTTTCTCAGAAAATATTGAGAATTTTAAATTGTATTATTAAGAAAAAATATCAAGTTCAAAAAACTCTACAATAATATGTGGTCAAACCATTATTTTTTTCGTCCCTTCAAGGATAAAATCCCTTATTTATAATTTTCTTAAATGGGAACCCTTATTTTTAACTTTATAATATGATAGAGAAAAAAATTACAAACAATTTTAATTCTAGACTCTAGACAGCCAACTAGCCAAGATTCCCAGCCTAGTATCACCAATGGGTGATTTCTTAATTCAAAATATTCATGCAACTATTAAAAAATCATATATACTTATTGTGCTATGTTGTACAGATTGTGTATTTCAAATTGTAAATAAAATAAACAATTTTATTCTTATAATTTTTTTTATCCGATTAACAGTTCGTTCGTTACAGCTTGTTAAAGTTAAGTGATATTAGGCAAATTTCTATTGTCATTTTACTGTATTAAATACACAATTTTTGAAATGGCATTTAGTGAAAGAAATTTGATTTGGGGCTTAGTCCAATATAGTTTTAAAAGACTACAGATTATACTTATTTTGAAATAAATGAGGTTTATAAATTATTTTATATTATTTGAATAATTAAACTAATAATTTTCAATTTTTTTGTAATTATCTAATTTATTAAAAAATATTATTTTTTTAGAAAAAATATAATTTCTAAATGATTAACTCTTTTTTTATGCATTATGTTTGGGCCGGGGGTATTAAATAGTAAAATACTTTACCCGGTCACTACGCCCTATTTACCAAACGGTTTAGCTTCTTGGTATACCACTCCAAGGCTGACCAACCTGTAAGTGTGTAGTGTGGTAATAGAGTCACTGGAGATGGGAGGGGTCGCCTGCGCAAAACCAGTGATCTATGTAGTGCTCAAGTGTGTACTGTGTGTATATATGTTTTTGTGTGTACTCTTAAACTAAATAAATAAATAATTCAATTGCACTTATCACAGATATATTAATAAAATCGGAAGACAACAATCAACAGTAATAAATAAAATATAAAGGATAGCCCTTCTGGCTCAACAATAATAAAATAAATTTAAACTCTGAAAAATATTGTACACAATAAACCTATAAAAAATTTAACAATAAATACAAACTATTAAATAAATAATATATATAAAAAATTTCTTTGATTTAATTTGAATTATATGCTCAAGTCCTTATGACTGTAATCCCCTTGCCTTATGCGCGAGGATGGTAATATAATACAAATTTAACTCAACACACAACAATTTGTTCAATAATTCAATTTACACTAATAAGACTAACAAATATGTAGATGCAATTGTAAGATAAACTTAAGTTACTTATACTACAATTTATAAAGTCAATACTCACAGTGAGATGATTAATGTAAACTGGCCAGCTGCTCTTAACACTAATAACACACAGTTAAATATAATACAATAGAACAGACAGACCACAACACACAACTTTTTCCAACAAGTAATACACAGAGTCAATACAATAATAGAAATAGTTGATCACAAATATTACAGTTCAAGTTAGAATATCACACTTTTGACTAGATTAAATAAACAATGCGAGCCCTATGGCTGTAAAATATAGCGAATAATTAAGAAAAGAATTGCACAAAAATTTCTCTTAAAAATATTCAAACTATTTTTCAACAACTCAAAAAACTATAACTATATTATAACTCTACCCTATAAAATTACTGTGTTTTGTTGTGTGTAACAGGTGGCCGGCTGATTGATAACGTTGCTGAAACCGTTATCAATCGTGGTAGTGGTTATACTGTTGTCGCGCACTGTTAGGAGGGACTCAGTATCATTAGCGGCATGGTGAAACGTATTATAACGTTTTACGTGGCCTCAACACATTATAAATAAAAAATCATGATATTGAAATGCAAAATTACAAGATTCAATAAATGTTTTCATTATTTTGTTTTTTCGAGTAAAATAATCTGGTTAAACAATTGTTTATATATTACTTTGTACATTTAACCTTACTCAATACTAACTGGACTTATAACCCATGGCACGGTTCTGTGTCGCTTTATGTTAAACAGAACCCTGTCACTTGCGCCACCTTTATTACCGTCGCCCTACTACATGTATACGGTAAATTGACCAACTAACACCGCAGTACAAAATCCATCTTTCATCAATTATCACATCAATCCATTTAAAAAAAGAAATATGATAAAAGTGTCGCAACTGCAATTTAAAATATGAAAAAAAATAAAGTAAAGCATTCAGATAGTCAAAAGTTATTGCATTTGACAGAATAAACTACACTCCTCCATATATTTTAAAAATTTGTTTGTTTTATATCAATATCGTTTGATTAATATGACTAAACTCAATTTTATAAACTATCATTATTTTTAAATTTTTAAATCAGTAAAATCTACTTTTTCTATTTTTTATGTTCAAATTTACTAATTTTATTAAGGAAATAATATAATAACTTAAAAATTGTACTTACTTTCAAAGATAAATTTTCTAAAGTTTTATAATTGCATTGTTTTCTATTAGAAGAAGGAACTTCTGGATAAAAATAAATACTAGCTTTTACACGAGGCAAAAGAAAAGAAAAAATAAAAGCCGATGTTGAACCTAAATTATAAAAATATATTTTTAAATGTTAAATACAAAAGTTATGTAATCAATCTATTAATTTTAGTTAACCTATACAGTTCGATAGGTAACTTGTTGTACTCAGTTACTTTGTGGTAATTTCAATAAGAGTGGATAAAAGATACAACACTTGATAATCATAAAATATTTTTTTTTTTTTAATTTTGAAATAGAGGAAACAATATTCAAGTATACAGAGTCACTCATTTTCTCGAAAACAATTGAACATTTAAAAAAAAAACATCGTTTGATTCAAAAAATTCTACATTAAAATGTAGTTAAAGTTTTTTTTTTCATCGCTTCAGAGATAAAATTTTTTTTATTTTATTTTTTTGAGCAAGTAAAGTGGCGATAACAATAAATACTGCTCCTCTTTAAAAATTATATGAACTATTTTTATTAGTCGGTTAATCATTGAACACTTAGCGTAACAATGTATAGAATATAAATTATACATTTTAATATTTTCTTCTAAAATTATTTGTACTTGCTCAAAAAAATAAAATAAAAAAATAATTTGCTAAAATTCATTTTTTGAAAATAAATCATTCTTAATTCTCGAAATAATCACTTTACAACAAAATGTTTCGTAAAAAAAATATGTCAAGTTAAATTTTTTAAGACATTGGTCTTATGTAAAATTATAGTCAGATTTATAATTTTGCTGTTTTAATAACACTAACGACTAAATAAGATTGTTTAAAACTGTTTATTCAGGGTACTACGATTATAAATAGGATACAATTAATAATAAAAAAAATTAGTGATGGGCATTTTCAAATATTTTAAAAAATATTCGAATGGAGGTACCGAATAGTTTTAAAAACTATTCGAATAGACTATCGAATAGTTTTTATAAATATTTGAATATATGTGTAACTATCGAATAGTTCGAACAGTAAACTATAATCGAATAGTTCGATAGTTACTGTTCGATATTTCCCATCACTACTAAAAGCACACTATTCGGTTTTACAAAAACAATTCGAATAGTATTCGATAGTTTAAAATATTAGAAAATGCTCATAACTAGTCATAACGCATTCACCCCACCCCACTCACTTCTCGACGATAACAATATTTTCCTGTAAAATTTTATTTTTGGATTACGTACCCGTACACGCGTGCGTGACATCAATTATATATTTATAAACAAATTTTTATTTTGACTGACCAATACCGCCCGCGTGTAATACGCCTTACGTATATATATTTATAACGTTCCCTCCGCCCACAAAAATAGGCTATACCTAGTGCATGATACGTTTACGTACTTATGTCACCTAACTATGTATATGTATGTATGTATATATATATCGACATTTTTCGTCACTACCTCTATATTCCGGGAGTGGGTGATTTACGCGCCTGCTGCTTTTCTTGGATGTGGTAGCCGTTTCTCAGACTCCCTCCCCGGAATCGAACCCTGATATCCGGTTACCCGTTACAACCATGATATTGATAGTAACTACTATCATAACATGAAACTAAAAAGTTAAAAATAATTTTTAAAATAAGCTTAAAACAATAATGAACGAAAAATACTAGTATTATTGTGATAAAAGCGTGGATACTTTGAGTCATATTTTTCGTATATTGAGTGCCCGACGCTTTTATCACAATAATACTAGTATTTTTCGTTCATTATTGTTTTAAGCTTATTTTAAAAATTATTTTTAACTTTTTAGTTCGATGTGCTTTAAAAGCGTGTTTTTATAGTTTTTTTAAACTATATTTATTATCTTAATAATATGATAGAAAAAAATGTGTAATACATTTTGTTCTTATAATTTTTTTATCCGATCAACCATTTGTCTGTTTTAGCATGTTAAAGTTTAGTGTTTTTAAGTCAAATTTCTATTATTATTCTACTATTTTGTATATAGAAGTCATTGATAACAATTAATAGACGTATAGGAATGACTGGGGGAACTATGGTCAGTAGGTAATACCAGTCATCTCATTATTATCTCATAACACATGCATCTAAAATTATGTTGACCATATGTATACATTAAGAATGATAAAAAACCTTATTTTTATTAGAACGATATTATGAAAAAAACGTTTTCACGATTAAATGTGTATAAAAAGTTTTCAATTAGCTAAAAAAAATGTTTTAAGCAATTTAATTTAAGGTAAGCAAATTATTATATATTTATAATTTATATGAACTATATTTCAATAATTTTTTTAAAAATAATTTTTTCACTATCTTTTTACATGTATTTATGTATGACCGATATTCTCCCAGGGTAGGGAGAATACCGTTCATTTTAATTAAAATATATATATATTTATATCAGGGTGATTTTTTTATCATAACCCACTCAATTACTTACAGAATAATAATAATTTAAAAATTTTTTTTTATTATTATTATCTTTAGTTACACATTATTCTTGAATTATTAACTATGCAATACTTTTTAAGTTCATCCCTTATGCCTGGTAAGGGTGTCAACTTTGTTTTTTTAAATGGTAACACATATTTTTAATTTAATAAAATGTTCAAGTTTTTAATTCAATAATAAATGGCATTTGAATTTTTAATAAAACTTAATTTGTTTATTAGATATAAACATTTAAAGTTTCAAATTTTTGAGTTAATATATAGGTATAATACACAAGGGATTACAAATACAGGTAGCTAATTGGTTTTTTATGATATTGCTATCGCAGTCACGGATTGTTTATTATCAATTATGACTATCAATAGATATACTTTTTGTATTGTCAGTTGGTGTATTTATAAACTCATAACAATGTGCCTTACTACAATTGATAATAACAATGCTGTGTACCTGCGAATATTGATGTCATAAAGAACCAATTAGCTACCTATATTTGTAATCCCTTGTGTATTATACATGTATATTAACTCGAAATTTTGAAACTTTAAATGTTTATATCTAATAAACGAATTAAGTTATATTAAAAATTCAAATGCCATTTACTTTCAAATTAAAAACTCAAACATTTTATTAAATTAAAAATATGTGTTACCATTTAAAAAAACAAAGTTTACCCCCCTCCAAGGCATAAGGGATGAACTTAAAAAGTATTACATAGTTAAAAATTCAAGAATAATATGTAACTAAAGATAATAAAAAAAAAAAATGTTTAAATTATTATTATTCTGTAAGTAATTGAGTGGGTTATGATAAAAAAATCACTCTGTATATATATATAAGATTATGTTTTAAAAATCTGAGACTTTGACATAATGCTGTCAATATGTTTATGCATCCATTTGTTGTAATAGCATGACATTTAGAGTCTTAGAACCAGAGATATAACAATTTTTGCTAAGGTGACTATAGTTCCCTCACCCAGTCACCCCTACTATTATATTCCATACAAGTTTATGAAAAAAAAATTAACTACATATTATTGTATATTTTTTTAAATCAAACATTATTTTTCCTTATAAAAATTTTAAATGTTCAATTGTTTCTGAAAAAATTAGTATCTTAATGAATCATCCTATATAATTCCTATTTTCCCCATTTAAATATTTAAATGAACTGTATTACTCGGTTGAAACGATAATTCGGTCTGACATTGTTAAGCTAAACTATCTAGGGTGTTTACTTAACTGCAAAAATTAGATATTAAGAAAGTGACATTAAAAAAAATCAGTACCATGAAATAAGATAAATGACAAACATTTTTAAGATTTTGGACAAAACCTAGTTTTGATAAAACTAAAATTTAATAATGTTCTTTTAAATGAATAGTCTTATTTTTTTTTTAAGAAAACAAGCAGATTTAATGTAATAGTTTTTGAATAATTGTTTAACTTCTAAGGTTTAACAGTGTTAAATAACTAAGGAACAATATGAATTATAATTTAATTACCTGCTAAGGAAAGATAAACAAGTAAATCATATTTTTTTTCAGAATAAGATACCAATATTTGTGAGACTGCTGCAGATAAACATTTACCCATAAGATATGACCCTCTAATAAATCCAGTCATCTTTTGGTAAAGTGCTCTATTTCGAATTTTTGCATAAATGTATGACGAGTATGCTAATTCAGTGGCTGACGATAATCCTGTAAGACCCATTGCAATCTGCAATGACAAATATTCATCATATATAAAAATATTACTTAATATTTCTTTCCAAAATAAGCCTAATGTAACATTCAAATTGGATGAGACACAAAAAATCTAAACTATTCATAGTGTAAACAATTTTACATTAAAAAAAAAACAAAAATAGTAATGTTATTATAAAATATTTAAAACAGTTTTTAGTTATTAGACAAAGTAATTTTTATCAAAATCAATTGGATTTTTTGTTCATAATTTTGTTTATAACTTTTAAATCTATTTTTATTTCGACGCTGCGTTATACACGATGCCCAGCGACTCGTGCCACCTTTATCAGACGTCGTTCTACTATAACTGACCAACATTGCGTGCCATACGCCACTGGGCAAAGTCCAAAAAGTGCCAAACGGCCGATGACGACCCGCCGCAAACGAGACAGCAGTCTTCTACCCGTTGTGAGAGTTGTCAACGAACCGATCCGGACCAACGCACCGTCGCCATCAATGCTGCTAACCTTTTGTCGCCCAAGGATCACGCCGTACATCGCGTCGTCGACGCCAGCGAAAGTGCCGCGATATAATGCGAAGATTATTATTAGTGTTCATTTTTTCGGTTTTATTTTTTTTTGTTAAAATAACCTGTTGTTGCTCATTTAATAAACGGCCCACGGGTTTCTACCCTCAAAACCAGTGTCGACCACATTTTTGCGACGTAAGTCGTGTCAATTTATTAACAGTATCATTAAATATTATGTTTAAAATGATGTTTATGGTTGATTATTATTTTATTATATATTTTTTAATAGAATTAAATTTATTTTAAATAATGTATGAGAACATTTTTAATCATCTGTTACTTTTACATTCTGTAAAAATTCTACTGAAAAAAGTTCAATCATACAGTGATTAATTATATATTTTTATTAAGTTTAAATATTTTCCAAAACTTAAATAATTGATTTTTTTTTTTTTATTTAAAAACTATGTACTTACATTTATCAGTTGATTATGATATATAAAATTAAATAAAGAACTTAATTTTTTTAGATAACTAATCTATAAATTTGTACATATCATTTATATTAGTTTACTAAGTTGTTTTTCGTATCTAAATGCTCACTTTAAAAATTATATAATTTAAAAATTATATTTACGCTCCATTGGAATCGATTATTTAGAATAGTAATATTAATTTGTAGAAATTAATAACTTTGAATAATAAGTTTTACTAATAATCTATATTAAATTTTAGATACTGAAACAATAACATATTTGACATCAACAAATATAATATAATTAGTTCATTGGAGTATGACATTATGAAATTCGAAACCCAAATCAACTATTAATAATGATTGCAAATAACTACAAAAATTATTATATCTACAAAAATTCCTATTTAAATTCTTTTATTCGAAAATCTATTTCAATCAATTCAACCTATTATCTGTCATTTCTCATAACAAAACTTTATTAATATCATTGATACTAAAGATAGTATTTGTTGGATACACATCGAGTCTTCTTTCTATGTCTGAATTGTCGCCGCCATCTAAACCTTTTTTCAGCTATAAGCTCTACTCTATGGCGCTTGCGAGCCAGTAGTTTTGTATTCGTTTTGTTGTAAAAGTAAATTAAATAAGTAAAATTACCGTTCACAGCATATTGTACACGTTGGTCAGCTATTCGACTTCAATTGATCCTATCAATGTTCAACAATATCACCAGCCATTTTAATAATATCAATAAATTCAGCCAATAAGTATAATGCTTGTTCATTTTCTTTAAAAGGCTTACTCGCATTTATAATTTATTATTAGTTAATATCAGCGTCATTGTGGCATTAGTATTAAGTGTCTCTAATGTGTATCCACATTGGTGCATATAAGATTTTATGATTCATGTATATTGTAAAATTCATTCTTCATTCATTCATACAGTCCACTCACCTTATTCCTTATTCTCGACATACGTAAAAACTTAAGAAAAAAAAAACCACGAACGTTAACTAACCAACCATGAATACCACCGTTCATTCAGTATTAAAATTAGAATAATACTAATTACTGTGAATACCAGGAGCTTATTCAAGGAGGACGATAGGGATGATCGGTTTACCTGGGCCACCGCTATCAATATTTTTTGAAGCTGATTTCTACGAAATATGGTTGTTCTAAAGACCTTTTTTTTTTGTTCATTACATTGCTTTTTAGAAAAAAAACTACTTTTAAAATTATTATGATCATTATTACTAAGGAATTTTTGTTCACACAGTACATTCTGATTATCATTTGTTAGTATATACAAGATCGTTGTGAACCTATTACTATTATTTTATGTTTTATAAAACGATATCAGTTTTTGAAGTAACAAAATTTTGACAATTTGTAAAATTATGTTTTATTTTATATTATAATAATTTAAGTTGTATTATAAATTTATTTCCTGTATTTTACCTTAGTAGCATATTTACAGACAAAATATAATTATTAAACTATAATGTCATAAAATTAACTTACGGCATTATTCCTTAATAAATGAGTATACATACGGTATACCCATATATATATATATATATATATATATATATATAAGTATAATATTAAATAATTTATTAATAAAAATTACTTACTTGTACTTTTAACAAAGTAATAGGTTTCATTACCATAATGTATATCAACATTGAACAAAGAGCATCCAGAACCACAATAGGTTTATAACGGAAAAAGTCAGTAATGAGAAAAATTATAATAGTAACACTTGTACATGAGTAAGCATTAACTGGATAAATATCTTCACTAATCTATAAATAACAAAGAAACCATCAAGATAAAATTTCATTTTTGTATATATTAAGTTATTAACTTGTTCGCTAGTAAAATTTACAGCTGGACTTGACAGATAAGCAGTATAAAAAGAATCTACTGGACGAAAATCCCGAAAAAAAGCAAACATACATAAATATAATGTGATTTTTATCCATTCTTCCATGGTGAAATTAACTCTATAATTAAAATAGAATATTACTATTTACAAACTTAAATATTATCACTGTAATAAAATTAAAAAGTTTATTTATTTTAATTTAAAATAACTTATTTTCTAATAATAAGAATGAGTAAACCATTTAAAATTAAAAAATTAAAAAAAAGAAATAAAAAGAAACACATTTTTTCTATTTTTTTAATAGTTTTTAAAGACACTTAATTATTGTTAAACTAAATTCAATTAAAATTTAATAATTATACAAGTTATTTTTTTAGGCATTTTTTATAAATTAAATGGTCTAACATAATATAATTTATGAAACTTAATTATTTACTTTCAATCACATGAAGTAAACTATTTCTTTGAAAAAACGCACATAAAATAATATATTTTTTTATCTATTTTTTATAAAATATAAGAAGTAGCAAATACTGTTTCATACAAAACTAGTATACTGAAATTTTAAAATCAATTCAATTTTAACTTTATGAAAACATTCTTAAATTATTTAATTTTATTGAATCCATTATAATTGGCTCTACACAAATTTACTGATTTTAGGTCAGATATATATATAAATAATAGTCCATTTATGACCTTAGATAAAATTAAACGATATATTATCACTGAGTTCCACTGTTAATTACACATTATAACATACAAGTCAGTATATTAAAAATAAATAAATGTTCACTTTTATTCATTTTATAGAAAAATAAATCCTAATGGAGTTAGAATTAACTCTTCAATAAACGCGAAAACTTGCTATAAAATTTGGAGGATTGAGCTCCCTTTTATTTTTATTTTTATTTACCATGCATGCACTATTCATTTCTTTTTATTTGTAATAGATATTAACATTTACAATTTTATTGTAATTATAATTTAATATTGAAAATTTTTCTAATAAACATTATTACGGTAATTATAGCAACAAAACACCAAGGACCGTATATAATATTAACTCAAATAATATAATAATAGGTTGCGTATTTGTCCCTTTAAGTTTAATTGAGTAACCCATAAGAAGCATCTTTAACTAACTATAAAATATCAATTTCCCTCTCAAAAACAGGCCCATAAAAGAGCGATTTTTGACTCATTCTCAACAACTTATTTTTACTGAAAATCTGGTCATGAAATATAATTGATTATCCAAACACATTTATAAAAAAATATAAATAAATATGCTCTCTATATTTTTCATTTCATTTTATATTTAATTTTTTTAGCAATACAAATATTATTATAATATTTATATAATATAACAATTAAGAGGTTACAATTTTAACATTTAAAGATTACTCCAAAAAAATGAATTAATTTTTCTTTGGTGGAAAATATTTTATATATTATAGTGTATAATTACGAAGTTATGACAAACCCAAACTATTGATCCAATTATCATTTCGTTGAAATGTTTTTTTATAAATTTATTAGGCTATGGTCAAAGCACATTTTTTATCATTAGTAAAAAATAAAAAATAGTAAAAATATAAAAATCGTATTTTTATTACTATAATTATTATTTTTTTGAAATAGTCGTTCTTTATCTCTATGGAAAATAACTCATTTAAAAATAGAGAGGATGGAACTACACATACACCAGTATGAACTGTACCCAACCACGAGACTCATCCTTTACATATTTTATATAAAACATTTTGATTTATCAATCATAAAGTATTTTATATTTTCATGCCTTATATCTAAAAAAGGCGTCAACATTATTCTTTTGAAATAGTGGTTGTCATTTAAATAAATTAGAGTTAAGGTTTTTTATTTCTGATAGGACGAGTATCTGAGAAAGTTCTTATTCTTAATCGATCACTTTGTATAATTTGTACAAAATGTCATTTGAAGATTTGTTAACTTAATATAAAAATAATTTATCATTTCATTAGAATAAAGAAATTAAAGTAAAAACATAGGAATTGAATTTGAAATGTTCTTTTCATTTGGGGTTAAGCAACTCCAGATAATTTTTAAAACCCAAAAAGAGGGTTGTTCAAGGGGTTACAGTTCTCTGTTCCCAAAAACTTTTACTATGCTCTAGTTTACCAAATAATTCTCAATGAAACAATTTAAGGCGGTTCTAAAAGAAAAAAATCAATGCGCATCATTAACCAGAATATTTATTAAAGATGCTTATTTTCATTTTCGAAACAATATAGTACAAATATAAATCTGTTATTTTTACAGATAATTCCAGAACTTATCAATGAAATAAATTGTTTGAAAGATTGTATGAATAAAATTCACCTTACTTGTGGATGATAATTAAAACTAATACACTACAGTAATAGTTTTTCCGTAGATGTAAACTTTTTCCAAAAAGTATGTAACTTTGCGAATAGAGCTTCTATTGGTATATATTTATAATGCATGATTATCTAATTTAAAAAATGACGGGTTAATAACAACTTTTAGAACCGTATTTCGAAGTTTATTAACTTTTTTATAGGTGAACAGAATGAGAAATCTTATAATATAAATTGTTAAACCAATACCTTCCCTCCCAGTTTATATTTTAAAATAATCATATGTTATAAATACGTGTTCGGAAGTATTTATTAACCTTCCATATGATTAATTAGATCATTATCTATTATATAAGCAAATTAATTATGTGCGTTACTATTTGAAAAAAATCAAGTGGATATATTTTACAAGCTAGTTCAATATGTATGTAATAATAATATTAAAGACAAACAAAACTATATTTTAAATATTTAATTTATTTTGTGAGTAATTGAGTATTTTATAATAAACGCGTTACTTTGAGTAGCGATGTCTTCATATAAAAAGTAATTAAGTACATATTGACGAAATTTAGTTATTTGTGTAATTGTATTATTAACCTTAAAACAAAATGTATTCTGTATAATTTGAGTATTAAAAATTCAATTTTAGTCTTTCAATCGCAATAAAAAAGATAATACATAAAAGATAAAAATAAACTAAATTAAAAATAAAAATTACTTGATTATTTTTTATCTTAAATAATTTTTAAAATTATTAATTGTAATTGTACTTGAATCGAGGACTTGAGATACCACATAGATAATATGTACACAATTCCGATTATAATATAAGTTAATTTATTTTAACTTAATAACAAATACTACAGTAAAAGCACAGAATAAACATGTACACGAACATTTACTTTTTAAGTGATGTAAAGTAATTGATTTTAAATAAGCACAGTTTCATTTACAGTTTAACAATAACATTGCTGACATATGATAACACGCCATAAAGATTATAGATGACACATAGTAAATGATAAAATAACATTAATGTCTTCTCAATATAAAAAAAAATGATTTTTAGTTCATGGAAGAAAACAACGTAATCTACACTTTGATAACTACTTATAATAACTACTTACCTATGGTGAAGGTATAACACTTCGTATACTAGTTAAAAACTCGTTCTCAACGTTCAGTGCAGTTATATGTTAAGTTGTACAGATACTGACACGTACAGAGTATGGCATTATTAAAATTAATTATTACTTAAATAATTTTTTTAATAACAGTTGATTTCTCGTACAACAATAAATGACCATATGAATATTGGTAAACTAATATCCACAAATGATTTTTTAAATCGTAATTAATTTAGCTATTATTTAAAGTAGTCATAATCACAATTAAATTCCTTTTTCTATACATGATTGATAATAATATAAGGTGGATTTAGGAGGGGTTGGGTTGTAGCAACTCTGATGCCTTTCAAAATACTGAAACAATAGATACTACATTTGTGAGGCGAAAATACTAAAAACTTCTCCCTAAAGTTATGTTTGTCATTTATGGCTATCAATATATACAGGGTGTTCAGTAAGTCAGGAAACGGGTACTGAACACTCTGTATAATTTCTGTATTGGCAGTTAGTGTATTTATATACTCACAACTGTGTCTTACTACTATTGATAATAAAGGCTATATACTTGCGAATAACGTCATAAAAAACCAACTAGCTACCTGTATTTGTAATCCCTTATGTATTAAACATGTATATTAACTCAAAAAAATTTGTACCTTTGAATGTTTATATCACATAATAAACAATAAAAATTTGAACAATATTAATATATGAAGTTGATGACACGCACACATTTACGGGTACGAAACTCAAAATAAAATTATACAGAAATAGTATTTTCGACATGTGGTGAGCGGATTGGGGTGAATGCGTAACGACAGTCTATTCTCAAGGTCATAGACATTAATAAGCGTGGTAATAAGAAGTACGTTTTTGTCGCGTTACAGGTATAGAAAATCTACTTCGTAATTTACCTGTCTTAATTGCTATAATTTAATAACATTTTCAAATATTACACATCTTTATAACTTCTTATAAGATTTCATCTCCAAATAATGTCAACAAATTTGAAATATTATGTTATAGTGAAACTATGATATTTGTATCATTGCTATACGCCAATTTTCAATCTTGAAATATTGTGTTGCTTACATTTATTTTTTACACGACTCCCTATCAAAATAAATATCTTATGATGGAGATGGAATCGAATAATTACAAAGTCTTATTTAAGAGATAAATTAAAATCATTATATTTCAATAACTGTGATACATATTGGCAAGAAATAGTAAAATAGAAATTAAAGAGAAATATTTTTAATGTAGTTTTAGTATATTTTACAAACTATAAAAAGAAGCTACTGCGAATATAATTTTTTCCAAACTTTCTGGTCGTAATCATAAGTCAATATATTAGATTTATCTTCTTTATTATCATTGGCAACGTTTTTTATCATTTCTGAAACGAAATAAAATAATATTATTAAAATCAATACACAAAGGTTCAAATTCGCAAAATTAAATATGTTTAAATAAATAATGTAGGAGTTACCAGATTAAGTAGGCGAACGTAAGGCTTATATGGCCAATTGGAAATGTTTAAATGTTAGAACAATATTTTGACATTTTTAAATTGTATGACGTAACAAGTAAACTAATTTTTTTCCTTAAATACATTTTTTACTCTGAAAATGCTATATTTGGCAAGTAGTTATAATAAAAAATTACTCTGTTTTAATTGTAGTTTCTGTTGTAATAGATTTATAACACACTTTATAAATTAATCATACATTGTATCGAAAACGCTTTTTATATGTTATTTATTTTTGAAACTAATTGCTTATAAAAATACTGAACTGATTATAATCCGTGTTGCTACAACACATTGTATTTCTTAATTTTTGTCAAAAAGTAAAGTAAAATTACTAAGTAATATCATATGTAAATAAAAAAAATATACTTTATTAGTTCGTATGAACAGTTAATTAATTTATAAAAATTGAATTAATATAACATAAATTAAACTTTATTTCAATTGATATTATACCACTTTTACGATGTTAAGTAAAATTAATAATGAAATTATAAAAATAAAGCTTATTAAAAATACTTATATGTATTGCAAAGGTGCAATATACTCAACTACATAGAGATAGAAAAAAAATTCTAGAACTAATCATAATTTCCTTAGTCTAAGAAATATTTGTTCATTAATCTGATATTTATCACAACTCATTAATAAGTTATTAAGTATAAGGGCCAATTCATGCGAAATCATCCAAAAGTGGTTGAACGATCATCTCATTTTTTTCTTAAATTTTCAGGGTTTATTATTTAAGCTATAATTAAATTAAAACAATTTTTTTTATGATCTACTCAATTTTTATTGCTATTTCAATAAATAAAATATTAAAGACAGTCAGAAAATTAAAAACCCAACCCAGCACAGTGGTGACGTGGCATAGTTGGATCAAGTATAATGATATCTGACAGTGATTAAAATCACTATCAAAAAAAAACGCTTCGATGCAAATCTTTAGATAGTGTTTAATTTTAAAAAATTGGTGGATTATTCCAAAAGCTTCATAAACTGCTAGTTCCTTATTAATATCCTGATTAAGACAAAGTATGTCGAATAAAAAAGAGATTATTAGAAAATAGTATTTCCCATAAAAAAATTATATTGATCAATACACTTTTCAATAAGTTATAGCATTATAATGTTAAAAATGTAAAAAATAAAATTGAGAATTTTCACACAATAA